TCATTCCGGCATCTTTAAGTACGCAATAGGCTATAGTACTTAACTTAAAAGCCTGTTCCACAGAATCTGCACCAAAGAAAACATCATCTACGTAGATCGAACAGTTCAACATCTAAAAAATATCTTGATTTTCTAATTCTATTTTCTTTATATGCTTTTTTATAGTGCATGCCAGAATGAAAGGGCTACATGACACACCGAAAGGAACACGAGTCATTCTGTAATATTTCAAATTGTAATTATTATCAAAGTATAAAAGTGTAATACATCTCTATCAATTTCAGAGATTCCAATCTGGAGAAAGGCCTTTTCAATGTCTGCTGAGAACGTATGTTTGTATTGTCTGAACCGCAATATCAAGTCCAAAACAGAAGGATTCAAATTTGGGCCAGGCATCAAACAGTTGTTCAGAGATACCCCATGACACTTCAAAGATGCGTCAAACATGATACGGACTTTAGTTTTTGATACATTTTTTCTTACTATTGGAGAATGTGTCATTTTACTACTGTCACAACTTTCAATTTCGCACTTTTCAATTATTTCATTTTTTAACTATTCATTTACTATGCTCTATCATAATTCTTCTTAACCCATTCATCATTTTTTAGTTTATTAACCAAAGATACTAGACGTCGCTTGGCATTTTCTAAATTATTACCCAAGTTTTCATGATGTGATTTCCATAACAAACGAGCTACATATCTACCATTAGTAAAATGCAGTTCTTTTTCAAATTTCTCAATGACTGATCTATCAACAGGATTCTCCTTTTCCTCTATACCCAAGTGGTCCAAAACCTTCGCAAACAGTCATTAACTGAATTATTATCATCCTTTGAAGCAGTGAGAAGCACCAGTTGTAAAAATACAGGCACTAGATTGATCACCTTCCAAAGATCCAACCAAGGACCAACCAAATATAGAAGACACCGCAAATAATTTATTACTCTTTTCTTTTCGCCTGTTTGCACTTCCCAACATGAATCGGATCCTAACAATATTTTTATTTAAGTTGCTTCACCATTATTGGCTAATTTTAGATTTTCTGATTTTAATATTTCTAAAATGTTTTTGGAGGGAATTTTTATGATCACTTCAGAAATTGTATCTGTAACAAGAGCTTCAACAGTGATTGATTCATTAGGGCAATGTATACTTTTCAGGGTAATTTGAACAACATTATATTCCATTAGCCTACCCTGGATATACCTGAAAGAATAAATATATAACCTTTCTTTCCTTAAAGTCCTTAATTTTAGTTCTTTAGCTAAATCAGATCTAATAAATGACCTCTGTGATCCACCATCAATTAAGATTTTTACTATTTGGCTTCTAGTATTATCTGTATCTGAAGCGTTAACAGTGCAAGTTTGTAAATATACACCTTTATCAGCAGTTTCAGAAACAGTCTCAGAGTTAAACGACAGGGATGCAACTACATTCTGCTTAGAATCTGATACTGTTACTACTTTCTGTTTAATATCTGAAACACTGCTCTAGGGAAGTGTATAATTTTTGCCATTTAAAAACAAATATGTACTCTTAAAAGATGTGTATTACAAGAGGCTTTATGGTAAAATACAGAAAAAGAAATTTGTCAGCTAAATGAAGAATCACAAAATACATTTTACCCGTTTATTAATGAATTTGCGAACATTATGCATGATATTGAAAAAATATCAGAATGAAATATCACTTAAAGTGTTGAATTATTTAGCATTGCTGTGTAATTAGTACTCTAAGAGCTTTTATTATCGAACACTTCCATCTGCTTCTACTTCAGGAACAATATTTTTACAAAATAACTTATGATTTAAACCATTGCACAATTCACAAGGTTGAAGTTTCATTTTACATCTGGAAGATACATGACCTCTCTTAAAACAACTGTAACAACATCATTGTTTTTTAATATCGCTTTTTTGGGGGGGCTCATTTGTTTTCTTACATTTTCCTACATCATGTGTATTTTGATTACAATAGAAACAATATGGCTTAGTCACTGTGGCTAACGCTGAAGCAGTAGGAACGCTTGCCCCTTTTAAGTAATTATTTTTATTCTGCTTAACACCGTAATTTGTGTCTCGTTTATTTGAGTTTATTATTAAATTAGAAGCTTCCCGACTCTCAACTTCCAATTTAATGAATTCAAGAAGTTCTGTTAGGCTATATTGCTGTTTAAAGTTTCTTTTTCTATTAAACTCCAGATTCACATCGTCTGGTAAAAGCTTTAAAATAACAGGTCCTAAAAGGGTCCCATAAGCTTCTGACACAATACCTAATGAATTTAAACTTCTTATATTGATTTCACAGGAATCGTAAAGCATTCTTAGTGTTTTCACATTGGACGAACTTCTAACCAGTTCAAGATTCAAGAGTTTATTCATGTGCGAAGATACAACCAAATCTGTTCGTCCAAATCTTTCTTTAATTAAACTTATAGAAGCATTATAATTTTCATGAGATAGTGCAAACCCAGATACTGCACTTAAAGCAAGTATTTTTTCATTAATTTATCTCAACACACACTGTTTAGAAGTAAGTAAAAACACATTTTCTTCTACCATATTCTTATCCCAAATGTCTTTTTTAATTTCAGGTTCTACAACATTTATTTTTTAAGAAATAACTGGTCTCATAGTTTTTCCTAGTAGCTTTCAATTTAACAATATTGTCTGCCATAATAACAACAAAAGTAATCTTATTCACTTACCTGTGTAGTCTTCAAATGGTTTAATCTTAATTTAGTAACTCACTTTACTGGTGAAAAGCATTCACAAGTATTCTGAATGTTTATCTTGCCACGTTCGATGCCGAGGAATAATTTTTCATTAACACGACAAAACACTGTGTTCTAAATCAAAAAACTGTTCGTGCGCAACTGTTGGGTACCAAAAATATAAAATATTATAATAACCGTCAAGAATTCAAGTTATCCTGGTTCAAGAGACACTAATTCAGATCACACAAATCACCAAGGTAAAAGATCATTACTAATCAGGTTTCAAAACTGCCAAGTTTATTCAAGTCTAACATGCATTCAACTGGCACTGCCAGATCCAAGAACAAGAAGTATACATCATGAAAGATTTCTGCCTTCTTTGGCGATTAAAATATATTTCCGCATAAAATTTCTTATAGGGTATGACTACTTCCCATTTCTTCACATATTTGCAAAAAAAGTTTTGCATTCAATGGCCGGTTTTTAATGTAGTTAATGATTTTCATGCTTTCATCCAGAACTTGCTGTAGATCAGTGAACATCTTACGTGTTGTCAAAGCCTCTCTGTGTGTGCAACAATGTGTGGATGTAACATATAGGGCAACATTTTGAATTCTTGCAACAAGTCCTTTATTAATTCTGATGATACGTTTTGCTCCATCTGTGCTCATTCCAATACATATATTCCATTCAATATTGTTCTCTTGTATAAATTTATTCATAACATTAGAGACATGTTCTCCTGAAGTGTGACCTAATAAAGGCTGGAAAAATGAAAAAGTCATCATGAATTACATGATTTTTTTTTTTTTTTTTTTTTTTTTTTTTTTTTTTTTTTTGTATCTAACAAACGCAATAATATTTGCAGTATCAGTGGACTCACTGACTTGCAATGCATAAAAATGACTTTGAGAAATATCAGATAATAACATCTGTTTCACATTATTAGGCATATCAATCATTCATTGATGAACTGTATTATTTGAGAGAGAAATACAGTCAAAAATTTGTTTCATTCTATCTCCTGTCAGTACTTGTGCCATTATCTTGGCTGCAAGCTTGATTAAAATTTCACCAATGGTTTCCACTGCGCTACATTTTGCAATTAAAAGCAATGTGCAATACAAAGTTTCTAATATTTTTTTATTGTCACCTCCTGTCAAACCCGGCGTGACTTTTCGAGACTAATTTAAATCCTCAAGTTTATTTTTTTAAAAAATCTATGGGTTTATCTTTGTACTGATTATGGTTTGTCTCAAAATGGCACTTTAAGTTAGATGGTTTCATGCTTTCATTTGTTAGATTTTAAAACAAATGATGCAAAGTGGAATAGGCTCATTTTCATCTCCAGTCCATAAGAACCCAAATTTAAGATATTCTTTGTCGTACTAGCAAGTTTTCGTTGCTTTTTTCTTGATAGATTCTTTCAGAATTGAAGTTGATTCCTCTTTATTTCATTATTTCCTGTTAGCTGATTGCTACTATAATCATTGCTTTCTTTCGGTGTAGTAGTTCCAGATTTAAACCAGTGATCCATAGCCTATGTTAGGGATAAAAATTATATTTTATAAAAATAATTAAAATCAGTGGGACTTATTAAAGCAGATAACAAACATTTCCTGTAAGAAAAATCACACAAAAGCTAAAAATACACAGATGCCTGGAGAAGCCACTAACTCTTAATGAAGTAAGTTGTCTCGGTAACAAAGTAAAGTATATTCCAGCCGTGTCACATTGGTCCATCTCACGCCTCACAAGACTATCTTGACCTGACTCATGAGAACGTAGAAATAGGCACTGCTAATCACAGTGCAGTGTATATCCCCACTAAACTCTTCTCATATGCCTATCACACTTTGGGAAACACTGCTCTAGGGAAGTGTATAATTTTTGCCATTTAAAAACAAATATGTACTCTTAAAAGATGTGTATTACAAGAGGCTTTATGGTAAAATACAGAAAAAAAGAAATTTGTCAGCTAAATGAAGAATCACAAATACATACATTTTACCCGTTTATTAATGAATTTGCAAAACATTATGCATGATATTGAAAAAATATCAGAATGAAATATCACTTAAAGTGTTGAATTATTTAGCATTGCTGTGTAATTAGTACTCTAAGAGCTTTTATTATCGAACACTTCCAGATTTCTGATGTATAAAACTTTTTAATGATATATTTTTTTGTCATGGCTATATTCTGGTGTGAGGTTTTTTTTTATTAAAGTTTTTAGTTTTCTAAATTATATTAAATATTATATATTTCCCCCTTAGGCTGATAGAGGATTTGACCGCAATGTTTTTGAAAAGCAAATGTCTGTCATGAGGGGGCAAGTAAGTTAGTTACATATCATTTAAAACCATAGGCATATAAATGAGTAAGCCATTTAGGTCACTTATGACCCTCCTTTATATGTAATAATATAAGTTATAAATTGTGTTTTTGCATCTCTATTAAACCAGATAGAAAGTTGAATATTTTTCAAGAATAACTTTGATGTATGTATGAAACACCTTAGTGGAATCAGATTAGATTAGTAATTCTTTAGAATAGTTCTTTGCAATGGATGTGTGGATGGTGATACTTCTTGGATGCACTTTATTGTGTCTATCAGTAAAATTGATCGTATACTTCACGGTATTAGTAGTACTTTGTCTTTTTATTAAAAATATAGAGAGCTTGTTCATTTTTATGTGTATAGTTTATGTATGTCTGTATAAATATATGCATAGTCATAGTATATTACATAACTAGTATATCTGTCGGTAGTATTTTTATATAACAGGCAGGGCTGAACTGGGCCTTATGAGCAACATGTGGCTGTAAGGTGCCTTAACCTTTTACATGCTGCAGTATGATCCAGGAATAAAAGACATAACTAATTCATCAAATTCACATTAGAGAATACATCCATAAAGACCAAACAAAAAAAAATGCCATAAAAATTTTTGTCTATGATTTCATGAATGTTCCATTTTTGGAACAATGGCATGTAACGCTGTTTTTTTTTTTTTTTTTTTTTTTTTTTTTTTGTTCATGAAAACAAAGTGTTGTATGATGAATCTTTTAAAATTTTATCCTGTAATAATGGTTTACTGAACAATTTGATGTGAAATTACTAAAATTTAAGAAAAACTCATTAAAAATTTACATAATTTTTTATTCCAGTAATATTTTATAAAATGCAAAAATGCAATGCAAAAAAGTATGCAGAAACAATAAAAACAATTTTAGACTTATACAAGCTTAACTAACAATACGCATAATATGAATAAATGCAATTTAAAAAATGTAAAATACCTTAACAATAAGAAATAAATATTTTATCCTTTAGAAGGCAGGTGGGATTTCAACCAGTTGGGCAAAAAATATAAAACATTCTAAACACTAATTTTTTGTAAGCCTTTTTAGCAGTTTCTCAAAGTTCTTGTTATTGTGAGAAGCAGTGTACATGGAGCCTTTTTTTGCATTTAAAACACATGTCTGTAGTTTTTTTTTTTTTTTTTTTTCACTACACTATGTTCTTGTGATGATGTAAGTATCTTGCAAACATATCTTGATGCAAGTTTCTAGCAAACGTTGACTGATGGGCACTTGGTCCAGGTATAACATGAATTTTAGGTTTTGCTCAAAGCAAATTCAAAGTAATTTTTCTTCTAAAATTCACATGAGTCATTTCTAATGTAGTATTTTTGTGTAAATCAATGTGTAAGATCCACCCAGCAGCCACAACTATATTCAGTACATTGATAAATAAGTTCCAGTACCATTTTTTTTTGCAAAATTTTGGTCGATAACTTCCAAAAAGTTAGTCCAACAGGTCTGCTCCACTCATTCCTTCATTATATAATTTTATAATGTATGGTTGGGAAACATTAACACTTTTTTTTTTTTTTTTTTTTTTGGTGAGTTCAGACATATCTTTTTCCTGTTCCTATGATTCATGAGTGATGAAAATTGAATGCAATAGTTACAGCAGAACTATCGTTCCAACGGCACACATAAACTTCTGCATCGCATCAGTAATCAAATTCTCCATGTTGAAATTTCAACATTTCTTTTGCTGTTTTAAGAGAACATTGTTCCATTCTAGAATCTTGTACTGTACCAATTTGCCTTAAATCGTTTCTTTGATAAATCTTTCAGCAGACTGTGCAATGTAAAAAAGTTATGGAAAAATACTTTGTGTTTGTCTGGATTGTCAATAAAAGATAATAGTTCGGAGATAACTTTTGATCTAAGGAGCAAATTTTCATTTTTCGACTTTTTCCACTGTAGATTCCATTTGCTGAGCAGAGCATCCAAACTTTGAAACCAAAGCGAATTGGTTTTTCACGTATGAACATCTTAGTAGAATGATGTTCATAATACAGAACCTTGGATTCACTCAGATTTTCATAGAAAAATCCAAATTGACGAAATTTTTTTTCCACTCTCTTTATAAAAGGGAGAGATTTTCCCTAAGTTATCACCTGGTTCCAGTTTACTATTATCAACAATATGGAAACACTTTTTTAACATACGAAATTTATTTCTGGGCATTGTAGTGCTAACAAATGGGATATGCAAATCTTCCTGAGAGCTTCAATATCAATTTTGCTCAAATTTTGCAGTCCTCGATCTCATCCTTTCTTTAGAAATAAATGACACGTCATTAATACCTCTCAAAAAGGGAATGTTTATAAGATATGAGCACTGCATGTATTTAAATTCAATAAAGAAAAATATACATGTGATATCACTGATTTTGTATATCATTATATGCCAATGTTCCTTTTTTTAGAACATTGCATTTTTACACAATCTTAAGGAAATATTTCTCTTTATTATTTGAATTTCTTTTATTAACTCGTTAAACTTTTCCTTTGCAAGTACGCTGGGGAAATTTTGGTGTGGGTTTTAATTTTTAGGAATTTTATAGAATTTTTTTTTCCTCAAGTCCTGTAAAAATTGTAAAAAAAGGCTGATTTTTACAAATTTTCCTTTGCTGAAATATTCATATTTAAAAAATAAATTTTGTGTCAAGAAATCAATCTACCTTCTATAATAAATGGTAATTTTTTAAAACTGACAGATATGATAGTTTATTTTTTAAGAAATATTAAACATGATGTTTCAAAAAAGGAACACTGGCATGTAAAAAGGTTAACTGTGGCTTGTGATCCTCATGAGGCCCTTTGGTCCCTTAAATGGAATTCACTTTCAACAAACAATAGTTTTATTTTAAAATACAGCTACATTTCTACAGAAATGCATTATTTAAGATAATAGGTTCAATAAATTTTTTTAATGTGCTTTTGTGCCCGTTATCTTTTGGCCATTACATTTTCATTTGTATCCAACAACTAGTAATGTGTATTTAACATTATTTTTAATGAATTTAAAAATTTTTCAGCTTTTAGCTGTAAGACATGGCATGTAAAAGGAACTTTTCATTCAAGTTAAACATTTAATTACTCTTTCAAAAAATATTTGAAATTTTGTGCTCCTATACCTTCCAGAGATATGCATGCAAGTTAAAAAGAGAGAAAAATTATTGATTCGAATTAGTGCATTAGCCTTCACTCGGATAAAAAGCTTTTCACATTATAATACAAGCAAATCCCTTTGCAATTCCTTCTTTTAGCTTACAAGTGCTAAAACCAGTCAGTGTTTTAGTGTAGCACGTGTAGGGAAAGAATCCAAAATAAAATGACTGACCCTCTGTCTAGAATAAAAATAGTAAGCTGCATTGTTCAATAATTTCAAATCTGAATATCGTAGCAACAAGCTTTCCTCGGTATAGAGCCGAAACAGTAAAAATTCTGATTTTATACACTCAACAAATAAGTAACAAAAGCAAAATACAGAATAAAAGAAAAACTATTTAACGGATATGTGTGAAATTGATCCAAGAGTTTGTTGTGGCATTACTAGGCCATGTAACAATAAAGCAAACGCATACAAAAACTCATGTATTACAACCATCACATTACAAAAGAACAAATGGGTCGGAAGAATGTGCAATGAAAACATCACACTAATAACAGGTATGATACCCTCTAGATGAAATGCATGCTTGATAACGGCAAGGTAAGCTGGCAATAGTGTCGTTGATCATTTGTTGTGGCAATAGTGTCCATCCCTCTATTAATGCATGTCTGAGCTTGTAGAGGGTGCCTAGAAGCACACTGCGACCTGCTATCCATCATCTAAATATGTCCCACACATACTCTATGGGGTTCAGGTTCAGTGATACAACAGGCCATGACAGATGTGAAGTGGTTTCACTCCCTGGATAGCTGTGCACCACTCAAGCTCTATGCGGATGGGTGTTATCATCCATAAATATTGTGTTGGTACCCATTACAGTGATAAAAGGATGCACTGGAGAGTGTAGAATTTTGTTGCAATATCAGATGGCTGTGACGGAATCACGTAGAGGCCGGTGGTGCTGCCATTCATTACTATCCCAGCCCATACAAGTAAGCCTTCTGCTCTGTAATGCTCTCTTTTGACAATGTTTAGTGCCAGATAGCATGTCCCTGGCTCTTGCCATATCATTGCCCTTTGGGAATTGTTCTGGGTGTTAAATCGAGTCTCATCTGTAAAGAGTACATGACCCCACTGTTCTGGTGTCCAACTACAATGTTCAAAGGATGTAAGAAACCTTTAAAACTCAAGTAGAAATCCATTTATAGGTAATGAAATTATTAGCTTCAGGGGCAGACTTCTGCATATAGTAGAACCATGTAAACAAGATCCAAAAATTTTTTTATCCTTTAAAATCAGACATCCTGCAACATCTGCAGTTGTGCCTATGGCTCTTATTTTTCTGGCATGGTTGCGATAGGAGTATTAATGTTATTACTAGTATAGTATCAGCATTCCATACATTTGTTACTTTTATTCTTCAGTTTTTTCCTTCTCTAAAATTCCTGTAATTTTTCTCATTGGACAAAAGTGCATGTGGTGCAAGACACATGCATTGATGCTCTTCATCAGTTAGGAGTTTCCCAAGTCCGTGATTACTGGGTTACAGGGAAGACATTTTAAAATTTTCACCATCATCATATTTTCCAGGTAACTACTTTTTTTTTCAGTTTCTCATAACTGTCAAAGTTAATTTCTTTGACCTATGTTTATTAATTGCTTACTAGTCTTTGGCTTTTCAACCAGTAAATAAATTTGCATTATATTTGAAACTTTTCTTGTGTAATTAACTTTTGTGTAATTTCTTGTGTAAAAACTTTTCTTGCAAATCAAAAGACCCTCACTATTATTCTGTCTTATTATATTAAGAAAATTTTTCCAGAGAACTAATCACAGGTGTGACAGCCAAGGAAATTGCCCTTTTCTTTTAATAAACTTCTTGGTCATCTTTGAATTACTGTCACTATTTGGCCATTTCTCCTCTTCTTTTAGCTAAGCTGCACTCTTCCACTATCTGGAAGCTTTCAAGGATTTCTTGGAGCATCTTCGACAGAGTAGGTCTATTAGATTCAGTTGAGGAGGAATATGTTTCCACTTTTCAGATTTTCAATTTTTTTTTAATTTTCTTCATCCTGGACGAACCTTTCATAGTTGTTCATTCCATAGTTCAACTAAGGCAGTGGAAGAATTTGTCTAGAAATTGGTTTTGCTGGTGAACCCATGCCTTCCTTTACTGAGTTTTATAAGTGTGCACTGATATTGCATACTAAATGTTCAGCCTAGGTAGAGGAATTTTCTTTAAGAACAAAATCCATGGTTTTGGCTTGTGTGAAACTGAAAAGCTTTAAGAAAATCTATTTCATCATTTGAAAGGTTTTGTGGATAATTTTCGCAAAACTGAAGTCAAAATTTTGAGTAAGTGCCGAATTATGATTAGTTATCATAGATTTACTTCAGATTTTTTAACATAAGATTTGTATTCCTTGATGTGAAATGTTAATGGTTTGGCCGATATATGTCAAACTACACTAAGAAGATATGCTATAAGGTTCACCAATAATTAGAATCAGACATGGAAACATTAAGCTCTGATTTTTGTGGTGAATGGAGGACCAATTCGTAATGTTCATATTGTTTTAGCTTTGGTTTACTTTTATCTAGAAACTTTTAAATCATGTTTTTAATTTTCTTTTATGCTAATAGTTAGTTATGTAAAATTTCTTTTCTAGATTTTAAATCTGACTCAAGCTTTAAAGGATGGGAAATCTCCAGTTCAGTTAGTTCAAATGACGGCTGTCATTGTTGAAAGAAGTAAAAGTGGAGTCAGAGGGAGAATTCGTGCCATTAATGACAGCTTCACTCAGACATTTCCAAATAAAGCACCATTTTTTAGTTGGTGCTGAATTGCTTTTTTTGAAAGTATCTTGCCTTTGAGAATTATTTTTAGTAAATCTGGCAAGATTTAAGTGCATTTGTTTTAACTAAATGTTTAACTGTCATATAATATCAATGAAATCTACTCAGTAATACGAATAAAATACTAATCTGTAGTATTTTGGCAAATTCAGCTCTCATAAATTTATTTGAAGTACTGATTTTTAAAATGATATGACTTAGTTTTCCTGTTTTATGTATATTCTACCACTGTGCATCTTCGTTATATTGAAAATAGTAGTTTCTAAAGATTTAAGGTTTTGAATTAACCTGAGATTGAAAATATTTCAAGGTATATAAAATTTAAATATTTTCAAGTGTTTTATTTTACCAGTGTTATACATATATAGGTTAGATAAAAAATATGAAAGCAAACTTCTAAATTTAATTCACTATAACCTCTTTTATTTTCTTTTTCATTTGGGAACTTCATCTATCTGTCCTAAAAATAGCACTTAAGTCTAAACTACGTCATTCAAATTAATCATGCAATCTTACGTGACCCTTAATGCAGATGCCTCTTGGCCAGTCATCAAATTGCAGACTAAAACTTGTCTCTTTGCTTGCTTGCATCTTGCATAACTACGCACTTCAGTTTTGCTCTCTACTTTGCTAAGATGTAATTTTGCTGTCTTGCTTTCTATTTCAACAATATCAAAAATGTAAATATTCTGTGGAAAGGCACAACTAGAGTGCCAAGTGATTGTGGCCACAAATTATCAATTGCAAGTAAAAATGGAATTAAATTTGCCTCGACTGCCAAGTTCTTTAGATATTACCAAGTTAACATTATTGGCATACTACGCAATCAAAATTCTTCTTAAATATGGATCTAAGCATGCATTGACACTGCTCTGAATTTTTCCTTCTGCTCTTATTAAATCAATTTACAGGTTGTACAAAATAATTCAGTTAAAAATTTCGATAATAGTAGTATATTATTTCAAATGAAAATTTAATTACATTATAAAATTTTTTAATTTTTACGATTTTGTAATGTTAATGGATGTGTTTGAAATGAATTTATTGTTAAAAATGATATCTGTAAGGTTTTATACTTTAAAAAATTATTTATATCGAATTTTATGATTTTTTCCACTATTGCATTTCCCTTGTTTCGCTAATTCTGTAAAGCTTTTTTCTAAAATGGCTTTTGTGTCACCACACCTTTTTCTCTTTGAAGGGAGGGGAATATGTAAGATAAAAAATATGTGAATCAAAATTATAATTTAATCTAACGGTAAAACATTACTTCTCCCCCACTATTCTAAAAATCGTAATAACTTCTCTGGATTGCATCATTTCTAGATCATTTTCTATGGCCTGCGCAGCTCTGATGATGTAATAATTAGGAACTGAAACTACCATTGTAAACAAAAACTTTTCTCTTCCCATTCTTTCATAACTACACACTTCAGCTTCTGTCTGTGCTGTGCTTGGACGCAATTTCGCTACGCTGCTTCCTATTTCAATAATATCAATGGTGTAAATTTTCTTGAATAGGCACAATTAAAATGCCCAGTGATCTGTGGCCACATAATGTCAATTGGAAATAAAAATGGAATTAAAAATCGCCTTGACTGCCAAATTTTATTTAGAAAGTCAACACATTAGCTTACGACGCAAGACGCAATCAGAATACTTCCGCATAATACACTCATTCATCAGAATACTAACTTCAATATATAGAATAACTGTGCATCACGAGTGCTCCGTCTTTTCCTTGCTTTTATTATGTCATATATATAGATATGCTTGTACAGATATAAGCAAATTAAATTAGGTGAGCTTTAGCAAGTTAAAAGGTATCATCAGTATTATTTTTTTATATGAATGATAGTTCTAAATGAGTCATAAAATGTTAGGTTGACATGCAAGATACAAAATCATTCAACAAGAAAGCAAATATTCATATAAATAATTTCAACTATATTTACACAAAGTTAAACAAAATACAAATTCTAGAAAATACTGCTGTTGTACAAACATGAGAGTAAGGCAAACAAAAGGAAAACTGCCAAATTGACTGTTCTTAGTGTAGGCTTCATTGTTCCTAAAACTAAAGCTGAAGTTTCATAGCATGCATTTGTAACTGATGCATGTTTGGAGTCATCAACAAGAGTTGGTACTTATAATTGCAACGTTCCTCTAAGGATTCTGCAAGGTCATGTATTAGATGCTGTATTGTCATATATTAGATGCTGTATAATCCAGAGATGTTTAGTTGTCTTAAGTTACTTTGTAGTGTAGGTGCTATGTCCAAGCTTCCAGTTTGTAAAAGTTATTGGTATTCTGACTGACTGTGAGATGAACTTATTAGGATGTAAACATAAACAGGAGACATAAAGATTAAAATTAAAATGTAAAAGGATTCCTTTTGAAATTTAGAAAATTAGTTTGAAGCATGAATTTTAAAAATGCTTTAAAAGTTAAAAATTGTTTGATATACATAAGATTATCCTGGATTGTCTGCAATTTTTGAGTTTCTGAATTATAAACAAAAAATTGTAAAGCTTCTTTTCTCAATTTCAAATAATTTATCATTGAAAATTTCATTGCTAGTTTAGAGAAGGATTTTTTAAAAAAAATTTATGATCTCTTATAATCTTTCCTGTTCAACAAGAATTTGTTGATTCTTAACATACTATGTTTATTAGTAATTAACATACTATGTTTATTAGTATTTTATGAAATTGGAATTTGTTAATATTGGTCTTACAAGCAAAAATTCAAATAGCACAGCATAATTTAGGACAGAGTGTAATATTTTATAGATTACTAATGTGTTATTGATTTAAAGAACAGTTTTGAACAGTTAAGGGGTGTACTATTTTACTAGTTCAGAACTTTAGGACTCTATGTGTAAAATAAGGGGGATGGGTCCATGTTAGTTTAAACTAGATTTGGATATCACCATTAGGTAGTTGTAGCATCTAACCAGGGAGTAACTAAGCCATATAATTATCCTTTAGAAAGAGTGCACCAGTGGCCCATCAGAAAAATCTTTGAACACTGTAGTTGATCCTTTATTTCAAATCCCAACAAACACCTGTATCTAAGATTTTGTGTTTTTTCCATATGTAACATGGATATGAATCAGCTCTATGTAGAATCCTCCTCTGAGACATCCCTCCCATTTGGCAGATAGTTCTCATACTTTGTGGCATTTAATATAATACAGCCCTTTTGTAAACAAGCTGTTTGAATGTTTGCCAGCATCGATGACAGATTTCCATTGTTTAGCCAGTGTTCTAATCAAGAAACCCTTAGTCAGAGGAAATTTAGTTTCAGGCAGGAATTGATATACTCAGATTGTGATGCAAGACTCAATACAAAGCCTCGCTATGACATTCATGACATCACTTGGGCCAGTAGGGCTAAAATGTTAAACACTGGCATCATTTAAGTGTTGAAAAACCAATAAAAATATTCATTTATTTGTTAATTGTAACAATAAGTTATGTATTGTACTGTGAAACTAAATATTTTCAACGTAGTATTTGTAATGCTCCACTTGAAAATTAAAAAAAATAAAAATAAAAATAAAACTTGAACATTTTTACGTGGTGAGAAGGCCGGAATGGAGAGGAAAGAAAGGTTAAGAAGCATTGCTTGCTTTTGTGTTTGCAATGTTTCCTTACTCTGAGAGTGCAGTGTACGAGCTGGAGTACTGTCTTTCACATAAATATTAAATTACATGTTTCCCAGTAAAGTTGTCACTACCCTTGATTGCTGAGAATTTCAAGCATACTACAAGCAGAGTGATTTGGATAGCAAACAAACTAGTTGTTAAGTCTGTAGAGTAAAGCTATTTTTGTGTTATCAGGTATATAGCTCGGTATATGTGTACTACTAGAAGCACGTAAGACAGCATGGTTGTCTTTTTAACGGACCCGCCTCATACATTTAACAGAAGCATCTTCCTAGAGTTAAGTCATGCTTCTGTGACAGTGGGATTGTTAAAGAAGACACTTCACACTTTTAACAGAACCATCTTCCAAGGCATAAGTCATGCTTCTGTATCTATTAATTTGGTACTCATAATTTCAGTTATTCGTGAGTTATAATGCAATGTATAGTCGGGGAAGTTTTATGATCTGACTTGCAATGAGATTCTGGCTACATGTTTTAACTCCTTACCTGTGTCACTGGAATCCAGGTTAGGCAATCCAACTGCGCCAAACTAGGAATTACTGTTGACAGGAGAAAAATCAGTATTACTATTCCGTGAAGCCAAATTTGAGTGTGTTCCTTTATCAAATGCTTAATGCTATCTAATTCACCGTTTGTTAATAGAAGCATGTGAAATATGTGAGCCAGTTGATAGGGTTTTTTTTTCACTTAAAAAAAGAAAAATTGCTAATGAATAATAATTTGAAGCATTTACTAATAGTGACAATATTTAATTATCTCCTTCTCTATACACATATAAATATAATAAGTAAGCTTTTAAAAATCTTAAATTAAATGTATTATATACCAAAACAAAATTTTTACTGTTAAATAAAATTATAACATGGATAAACAATATTACTCTACCAAAAAAGTAATCTGTCAGACTATTTAGAAACAAAATATCTACATGACTGCCATCTGTAAGTTACCAGAAAATTTTTGTCTTTACCATTGTGTTTTATTTGTGATGCATATGATAGTGTACACAGAAGTAAAGCAGGAACTTCTGTATCAAGGTACATATTGTATGGTGCTAATTGCTTCTGTTGTTATGATGTGTTATAAATTGTAATACTACATTATTTTTCATGGGTTATTAATTGTAATATACTTTTAATTATACAAGTGCTATGATGATATCTCCTGAAAGTAAGGATGCTGAAAATGCATACTCGTAATAGTGCTTGTTGTTTTAAATTCTCTTCACAAACTTATATGCTCTTAAATCATATTCCAGAAAATTCTAGACATTAACCTATGCATTTTGCCATGTATGTAAGTTTTTCTCTTCCTGTTAAAAAAATGGCATTTAAAATTTGTGTGTTTTGTATAGCAATTTCTGTGACCTATAACTGTTTAACCCTTCCACAGATGTGAGATTAAGGAATTCCTTCTTCTCAAATATGTGTGATATCTGTCAGTCATAAATTTGTAATGCAAGCTGATTCATTTGTGCCAATTGCAGTGCATAACTGGAATGTGAGCTGAGCTCATTCATGACCATTAAAAGGTTAAAAGGAGGGAAATTAAAATATGTGAGTATATGGTTATGCTGTAAGGCATATGGCAATGGTTTTAAGGCAATGGTCTGTTAAATATATGTGAATAAATCCAGTATCTTTCTAACCTGTATTTTATTAATAGGTGTAATTTTCCATTTTGAAATACTTTTTATCATAAAATATTGAATGTATACTGTGCATATGTGTGGAATAACTAATGTCAGTAGTTTTACATCTAAGAGTTTGCGATTAAGGTAACATCTTCAGCAATTTGTGCAACTAGTGCAAATTTCTGAGAAACATAATGATCCCTTTTTTGTCATTTTATGTTACAAATGATAAATAAAAATTGGTTTGGGGTAAACTGCTTATTATATCGGTTTTTCATAATGAAATCATTTGATTTTTGTATATAACAAGTAGTATTTCAATTTATTTACATTCTGTAAACATATATTTTAAATTTTTTTGGCGATGCATTTGTGAAGTATAATGTAATTTTGTTGCTGTCATATTT